TATTGAAAATTACGTTTTCTTACCCGTATTTTGTAGATTCCAACATTGAATCTCTTACAATCTGATCAATCAATATTAACTCTTGATCAATGGAATCTTTTATCAAATTTAGTTCATTGTTTCGATGAAAATAGTGGATATACATTTGTCGAACGTTTTATAGAAGAACAAAATCGATTACCTCTCAAGTTACGATTCAAACATTCATTAGTTTATGATTTTTTTACATCAATGATGGGTAATGTTCAAATTGCTTTCGAGAAAAATCGTGATTTTCTTTCATTATCTCGTCATGATCGTATAACACTACTTCGATCTACAGTAGAATATACATCAACTATTGGTAGTATGTTCACATTACGTCAATACAAATTATTTGACTATCCACCTTTTTATGAATCTGCTGAAATGATATTTCAACCATCTGCGACAATCTTTATCAAACGTGTTATTGATCAACTTGATTCAGATAATACATTTATTAAATTAATATTAGCAATAGTTGCTTTCTCAACAATCAATTATATTGTATACAGAAAAAATACTGAAATAGATATGGCAAATAACAAAGTAATATTACCTTTTCAAGATATGTACACAGATTTAACATGGCGATATCTTCTATATAAATATGATCATCATGAAGCTGTAAAACGGTTTTTAAATCTTTTAAGATGTTTATTTTCTGCAAATAAGGCAATTGTTGAAGCATATGAAGCACAAAAATTTACAGATATAATTGATTCGATTATTGAACAAACTGAACACACACTCTCTTTGTAATTAAAGAATTTTTTAAATGTTTTTGTTGTCGTTTACGTCATCACTAGTTCGTATGTATGTAAAATTTACATAAATATAAAATAGATGCTATTTAATTCTTAATTAAGACATTTAGTTCATTTTTTTCGTAAAATCAAATACTCCTATGCAATTAATAAAGGTTTTTAGGTTTTATATACTTGCTTTATAAAGTGAATAATTTGAATCGTCTATATACGAATAACCTTTCAAAAGATTTTCTTAACAAAAATGTTTCTAACAAAATATTTTTAATAATAATTCTGGGATGTAAATTTGTCAACCAAATATGCAATGTAAAAAGAAACTTCTAGTACATAATGAATTTACTTTTAAACTATAACACTTGTGTTTTATCACGCACTCAAACTTTTGTAACTATTGTACCACGATATAAGAAAAAACATGTGTCAATAGCTTATGATGATAATCTATATGATCGAATTATTAAAATCTTGCAATATTTGATAAAATATAGTAATTTGTTCAACAACTTAAACTTTGTAATTCCCAAATATTTCGATAATCTAACAAATAGTCTTTATAATAAATGATAGCACTTTATTGATGGATATTTCTTTTGTTACTAATACATTCGATATTCATTTTAATTGATTTTCGTTTTGCATTCGCACATCATTTTTGTGCAATTGGGTACATATAGTTACAATCAAATTTTATTTCTAACGATAGACAATGGTATCTATAGACCAAACATGACTATTTCTGATTTTTTTCTTTCAACCCAGACAAAAAAATAAGGAATATAGATGACAATCAGTATTTGAACATTAGCTGCAAAGCATAAACAGTATTTTATGTACATGTACATAATTCTAATTTAGTAGGCTCTGTACATCACTATGTCAAAGCATTCATAACATTGATATACGGATTAAGTGTGGTGTCAATATGAGTCAGAGTTGGAACCGATCAGGAATATTCGAACCGATTCGGTCCGGCCAGTGATCGACCGGTTCCAAAAGTTTTTCAGACCAGTAAATACCGGCACAAAAACCTGCCGGTTCTAAACGCTTTTTCAGACTGGTAAAAATCGGCCGGGTTGCCAAATCATTTTTAATCGGTTAAAGAAAATGGCTTTCAAACCATTCAGTTTCCTTTTTTGCTTCTATTTTAGGAAGCTTTAAGAGAAAATATCATGTCATAGCCGTTTATGTTTTTAAGGTTTCTCAGAAATGAATATGTGATGTTTCTTTGACGCAAAAAAAAGAGCCAATTTACCCGA